TGTAAGCAATAAACCTTGCTTACCAAAGTCAGTTTCCCTGAGTTCAAAACTCTTTCTGAGATTTATTTTGTTATATGTTCAGGAGTCAGGACTCTTCTATTAATACTTGTAGTGTGCCATGAAGCCATTGTATTTGTTTCTGCTAATGGATTGGAATTTGCGAATATAATTTGATTCAACTGTTTCTATTTCTTTTGTTGTTGTGTGCCTTCAAGGCATTTCTGACTTATGGCAACCTATCATAAGATTTTCTTGGCAAGTTTCGTCAGAGGGGGGTTTGCCATTACCATTCTCTGAGGCTGAGAGAGTAACTTGCCCAAGGTCCCCCAATGCGTTTCCATGACCAAGCCGGCATTCGAACCCTGGTCTCCAGAATCATAAGTCTAATGCTCAAACCACTACACCACGCTGGCGCTATACTTTTTAGGCTTTGTAATTTCCATTTCTAATCTTTGTAATGTCTGTTCCTAGTCTTTGTAATTTGTATTTCTAGTCTTTGTGATTTCCTTCCTGGGTTTATTGCTTTCACACATCCACACTGAGTGACTACCGAAAAGATCTGAAAAACCTAAAAATAGAAGAATTTGGGAAAGGAAGAAATGTCACCAAATGAAACACCAATAAGAGAGAGAGAGAGAGAGAGAGACAAAAACTGTAATTGTATAAATCAAAAGGATAAAATATAGTAGTATGTCGTATATTTACTTAGGAGAAAAATAAGAAATTTACTGTGTAACATAATATGAGAATAAGAAAGTCAGGTGGAAATAAAAATATTCACAAGTTAGAGGTAAGGAAGTCATTTTAATTGTATAAATGTTTATGCAATTGTGTAGTATTGTGTATGGTGTAATGTCTGATAGTGTTTTTGGTGTTTTTGTTTGTTTTGTGGTAGTAAGATCTGTTTGGCTTTGGAAACTAGCCTCTGGGGGAAGAGAATAAGTGAGTGTAGGAAGCCCCCCTTGAGGATGGGGTCAGATCAATTTGTCTCAAAGGCTCTGCCACATTTTGTTTTTTCTCTTCCCCCTCAACCTTTTTATGTCCCTTTAATGGTTATGTAGAAGAGGGAATATCAGCAGGTCACGCAACTAGATTAAGAAGCAACACCTTGTTGATTCATCTACACCAGGGGTAGGTAACCTTTTTGAGCTGGGGGCCGGGTTGCTGTTCCTCAGACAATTGGGGGGCCGAAGCACCAAAAAAAATGCATGCACACTCTCTCAGCCCAGAAAAGCCATGCCGAAACCCCTGTGGAGATTTTGCCAAGAAAACCCCAAGAGCAAGTAATAACAATAATCATTATCATCATGGAAATGACTGGAAGGCAGGCCCACAAACAAGCAGGGATGCATGCACACTCTCTCAGTCCCAGAAAAGCCATGGCAAACCCCCTGTGGAGATTTTGCCAAGAAAACCCCAAGAACAAGTAATAACAACAATAATCAATATCATTATGGCAGGCAGCGGCAGCAGTGGCAACAGGACCGGCCTGGGGCCGGTTCAAAGGCCTCGGGGGCCACAAGCCTTAGGTTGCCTACCCCTGATCTACACAACCATTAAAGGGACAGGAGCTCTCTCCAGTTTTTACACTGGCAGCCTTATTGCCCTTGAATGTTCACGTATAGTTTGTCCTGCCAATTGCCTATTAATCGTTATGTACCTTTAAGGGTTATTCAAAGACATAGTATTAATCTGGAAAATTGGTATGGAAAGGAATCTTGCTGCTCCCTTGAGAATAACTGAAAGAGAGCAATTGGTAAGCATGAGCTTTCCTAGACTTGAGCCTACTTCCCCTAATAATGCATTTGGTGGAGTGGAAAGCCCAGGGACACACCTATATAGCAATCTGTGTGAAAGAGTGTTCATAGGAATGCGAATCTGTGTGGATTTTTGGTGTGGAGATGAGGTGACAAGTTCAGCTCTAACAATAGTCCTGGGGGACAAGGCAAGGATGTTGCCTAAGGCCAAGATTACATTCCAATACTCATTCATATGTAGAGAGATCTTGTAGCACCTTTGAGACAACTCAAAGAAAGAAGTTGGCAACATGAGCTTCCATAGGCTTGAGTCTACTTCCTCAGGTGCATTTGGTCATTAATATGGTTATCTATTAACCTTGGCTTTAAGCAACATCATCGCCTTGACAATCAGAAGTTGTGGCACTCCCATTCCTCTAAGCGCAAGCCATAGCTTTTCATGATCTGTGCAGTCAAAGGCTTTGACTTTCAATAAAGCACAGGCAGATTTGTGGCTAGTAAATATTAAAATAACGCAATAGCTAAAGCTTAAATAAATGACAATATAGATAACAAATAGATTAGAATTGAGCACGTGCAGAATGCACATCCTCCAGCCCTCCTGCCTTTAGATGCGAGATTTTAAGCGCTGGAGGCAAAAGCATTCATCCTACCCTGAACTGAGGAGGAAGGGCTCCTCAAGGATGAGGTAGTATCATAGAAACAAGTTTTGTTGTTGTTTGTTGTTAACTGTGCTTGAGTCATCCACAACTCATGGATGAGACATCTCCAAGCCCCCCCCCCTCCATTGTTCTGCTTAAGTCTTGTAAATTCAGGCCCGTGACCTCCCTGTTCGAGCCTAGCCACCTGGCATGTGGTCTTCCTCTCTTTCTACTATCCTCCATCTTTATTAGCATTATTGTCTTTTCCACTGAGTCACGCCTTCTCATGATGTGGCCAAAGTATGACAGCTTCAGTTTGGTCATCTTGGCTTCCAGGGAGATTTCTGCCTTGGATCTTCTCTAGGACCCAGTTGTTTGTCTTTTTGTCCATCCACAGTATCCTCAGCTCTCTTCTCCAGCACTACATCTCAAAAGAGTTGTTTGTCTTTCTGTCAGCTTTCTTCACTGTCCAGCTCTCACATCCGTACATACCGATGGGGGATACAGTGGCTTCAGCGATTCCAGTTACGAGTATTTATTTGTTGTTATGGAAGCTACCTTGGGTCCTGTACTGGGAGAAAGGTGGCATATAAATAAAATAAATAAAAAATTATCTAGCTTGTGTGTGTGTGTGTGTGTGTGTGTGTGTGTGTGTGTAGATATAGATATAGGGATGCAGTGTCTCAAGTGGTTAAGATGCTGACTCTTTTGATTGCAAGATCGGAAGGTTGGAAGTTCAAGGTCCGGGTGCTGCATGATGGGGTGAGCTCCTGTCACTAATCCCAGCTTCTGCCAACCTAGCAGTTCAAAAGCATGCAAAGGCAAGTAGATAGATAGGTAGCATGGCTCAGCAGGAAGGTAAACAGCGTTCTGTGCAATCATGATGGCCACAAGATCACAGAGTAGTCCTCAGACAACGCTGGCTCTTCAGCTTAGTAACGGAGATGAGCACTGCCCCCTACGTTCTGACGCGACTTGACAACCTTGTCAACAGGAAGACCTTTACCTTTATAGATGTAGATATACATGCATACACACACATACACACACAGTCAGCTCTCCACATTTGTGGTTTTGACTTTTGCAGATTTGATTATTCATGGTTTTGGTTAATATGTTCTCTCTAGGAATCTCTAGGTCAGGGGTAGGCAACCTTTCCCCTTTAAGGGCCGAGGGACTTCAGCTCCCAGAAGCCTCAGCCATGTTGGCCAATAGCTTCTGGGATTCTGGGAGCTGAAGTCCCTCTGCCCTTAAAGGGGAAAGGTTGCCTACCCCTGCTCTAGGTCCTCCAGCATGACTATGCTGGAAGTTAACCATAGAGTTGTGCTAGAGAACCTGGAAGTTCCTTGAGAAAACAGTTCTCTAAACATTTGTAGGTCCTCCCACTTGATTCTGTTAGGATCAACTTCTGGCAGATATTGACCACAGAGTTGCACTGGAGGACCTGGAGATTCCTAGAGAGGTGTTCTCTCAGGTAAAAAGAATGATTTTTTTATTTGTGGTTTTTCCACATTCATCAGGGTCCTTCACCCCTAACCCCAGTGAATGTGGAGGGACCACTGTAGATATATTAGAAAAGTTAGTTGTTTTAGGTGTAACAAGGACTGAGGGCTATTGTTCCTCTCACTGGTGGCTCTCAAAGTCTCTGTCCTGTCTGTTGGCGCAATGAGGAAGAGCAACCCACATCCGAACGCTTTTGCCTCCATTGCTTAAAAGAAACATTTCATAGGTAAGTCCGGTGTTCTGTTTCTTTTCTCTAGCTGGACTGGCTCTGAATCATCGGAGCAGGTGTTTTATAAACTGGTTTTTGCCATCTTTGTGAGGTGGAAAAGATCCCTCAGTTCTCTTTTGAAAGGGGTTTTGTTTCTTTCTTAGGAAGTGAAACTGACTTGCTTTAGTGCTTGTGTGCATTTGGTTATTAAACTATTGCTTTCTAGAGGCTCAGTAAGGTTCTGGCTTTCTTTATTTCCCCCCTTACAGGGAAATTCTGTGTGCATTTTGCCTATATTTAACTGGTCGGCTGTTGGTTATTTGATTGTTTTTCATTCTTCTTTTATGTTTGTTTTTTTCCCTTCTCCCCTCCTTTTTTTTACTGGGCAGAAGGGAAAGAGGAAGAGAGATAGTTGTAATATTGTCCATCTCGGATGACAAAATGCCTTGGTCCTCCTTGAGAAATAGGAACATAGGATGCAGCTACACTGTCGAAATAACGTTGTTTGATACATGTTACATTCTGTATCATGTTACATTCTGACGCTCCATCCTATGGAATCCTGGGATTTGTAACTTTACAAGATCTTTAGACCTCTCTTCCAGAGAGTGCTAGTGCTTCACTAAACTACAAATCCTAGGATTCTGTAGGATGGAGCCATGGCGGTTAAAGTGGTGTCAAACTGCAATATTTCTGCAGTGTTGATGCACCCTTACATTGTGTGGAATGGATTTTCTTCCCAAGGACTCCTTTTGACCTCATGTTGCTTAGACATCAGAACCAGAAAGGCAGCTGAAGGGGAGCCCATTGAAAGAAGCTAAGTTGGTCCCATACATTTTGCTGCCTGAGGCAAAGGTCAAGATAGTCTTCCCCATCTGCACTCCAGTTCCACATATAGAATTGAACTGGCAAGAGCAGCAGAAGTGATGGGAAAGGACCGTGGGTGGAGGGCTTGGGATGTAGAATAGAGATAGGAGGGTTCCATGAAAGACTGGCTGGGGAGGATGCAGTGCCTTTTCACTCTCAAGTAAACAAAATTGTTTGTGGAAAGCATGTTTGTTTGTTAAATGAAGAAATCTCTCCAACTCAGTCTACTTTGGGTTTTCTTATTTACTCTTGTCCATGCAGCATAATACATATTTTAAACATTATCTTTAGTGGCCATAAACACATTGCAAACAAGTTTTGTAAATATATCTAAGATATGAACAATAATAACAAAAAATGAAAAAAAGCAAACTTGATCAAACTACTAAACACTGTTGCCTCCCCACCCCACAAACTGGTAAATATATACCACCAGG